TCTCTTACCAGTTGATCAATCCTGTTCTTCTTCCCGATATACATTTGAGATATACCGCAGTTGAATGATACCTAGCGCACTGTTTTATACTATTTCAAAGTATATTTTGCGGGATCCTTTCTACAATGCGGCAAATGAGCCGAATGTTAAGAACTTTTCAAAGCTTCTGTATTTGTTTAAAAGCTAATATATTAAAGCATAATGTTTGACTGGGTGACTGTGAAATCTTTGTGGTATTTCACATTATACATGTGATAAGTTTAGCCGAAATACGGAACTTGGCAATTTTTACTTTAGAAGTTTAAAGAAAATCCCCCTCTTTCTAATAATTTTCCTATTAAAATTTGTCGAATTTTATCATAGTTGTGATTTATGTAAAATTATATTAAATATCAGTCTGAACTTCGCAACTCAGGATCGAAGAATCCGGCATAATTGCACTCAGCACATGGGAGCATCTTAGCAGCGTCACTAACTCAGAACATTCATACCGTTTGTTTAGACAGTCATTGGTATAACAGTTATTTCGTATTTCGGAAAATTAAAAATTCATTTTTCAGCTCTGCCGAAATATGAGTTTATTGACAACACGCGGCGGTAGATATTTATAACGGAAAGCAAACTGGGCTTTTCACGCTTTCTGAATCAAGAAGCTGCATATCATGACTTATGATTCTCATCGTGTCTTTCGGATGAAGCTTGTAACCCGGCCGCACTTCGAAAGAAACAATACAGTTATTGAACTCATGCTATTTATGTAATATTATCAGTTATGAATTTTGTGGTAATCTGATGGAATTCTGTGATTTTGGTTTCCAGGCAAAAAAATTGATTAAGCGATTGCGAAAGCACTGCAACAAGCTTAATCCCATTAGGTTCCGGAAATTGTTTCTCGATATCCATCCCAAACAAAAGGACCAGTTCTTTTCAGATGTCATGCAAAATGACAGTCATTTTATGAATAAAGTTTTGAAAAAACTGCGCACCACAGCAATAATTGAACAACCAAACCGTTTTTTTACACGAACAATCTCTGGATTTCGATACACACACAGACACATTCACACACACCTGTACGAAAACACACACGTCAATGACATCCCAAAACGGCCAAAACTTTGTCAAATATCTATGTAAAGTGGGCCGCGGTGCTGTTAATTCCTTCTGGGAGCGAAATGAACATCAGAATGGCCAGCAGGCTGACCCCTAGTGATGCAGCGTTGGTCACAACAATAGCAAAAGCTCGCAACTGCGTAGTTAGGATTTGGCCATGAATTTCATTTGATTAAGGCATTTTGTTAGTAATACTTATACACTTAAATCTCCCAAAAAAGAAAAACAAGTTCCCAGAATCATAACAAAAAATCGGCCAGGAAATTTGCCCAGGAAGAAACAGTGAAGTGAATGTTGAAGACTGCTTTGGTATAGTTCATTTGTTCTTAGTTGCAAATTACGTATGTCAAGAAAACGAGTCAGAAATTCCGCTATAAAAAGTGTTAACAATTCTCCTGTATGAAAAAGAATATCATACTTATTCAAAAGAAAAAATTAACAATAATCTATCAACGTTATGGGACAGCACATGGTAGGTGGCAACAAACTGCAGCACATCTTTATTGCGACACTAGGACTTTGAGCTAACGTAACTGGTACTGCAAGGTTGTTTGCTGTTAGAAAAAATGACTAGGCTGCTCATTTAGCAAAGATGATTGGCAGCAGATGGACAAAGTGGATTATTGAAGGGCACACAAGCAATATTGAACGAACAGAAAAGATATTCAAAAAGTGAAGAAATCTTTTTCCCTAGTACATTTTTGATTAGCAGATGCCTGCTGTTAAGCGGTTTTAGACGTAAAAAGTGTGTATGCAGCTGCTGGTCTTTCCTACTTATTTTTTATCGTTTATTTTTTAATAAGTGGGAAAAATAATTCAAAAAGCAGGAAAAATTAAAGTTGATGAAAGTATCAGTATTAAGGTTAAATCGTGATATTTTCGCTTTGATCATTAGATGAGCTGTAGTTTTATAGCCATGTTTCACTTCATCTTCGGTGCAGCTAGGAGCTTCTCCATTCTTCTCAGTTTTGAGCAACTACTAAATTCGACTTAACTCAGCCAGGTCGCAATTCTAGAACTCTTTAGCTTCTTAACTAATGCTACTTTGCAGCGTCGCTTGGTACTTGCCAATAGCGCTGAGTACACCCGTAAAGAGGAAGAGACAACACAGCAGTAAAAGAGGAAATAAATTTTAAAAAAAGCCTGAAAAAAGCGAGAAAATAGTCGGGAACAAAGAATCGGAATTTATTAAAAACTAGAGAGAGCAAAAGCAAATAAAAATTGAGAAATTAAATGTAAAAAACAAGCAAAAAACTTAGCAAAAGCAAAAAATTACAAATGGAAATTTTCTTACAAAAACTCGTCTGCATTAGTGGCTTCCCGATTTATAAAGTTGATGCTTAGGCAAGACTGGTAGCCCTCAGTTGTACTTATGCAGCTTCATCTTATTTGCTGTCAATTTCGCCTAAGCATCAGCTTCATAAATGGGGAAGTCGCTCCTGACGACTGGTTTCTGTAGGCCAGTTTCCACTTATATATGCCCAGCTTTTTTGGTTTTTGCTTTTTTTTGTTTTTATCCATAGATTCCAACTTTTTGATTTTGCTTTTTTTTCGCTTTTACTCATAAGTTCAGGTTTGTTTTAATTTGCTTTTCTTTGTAGTGCAATGTTATCCCTTTTCCTTTGCTGCCGACTCCGGTCCCACTCGCAACTTTCAAACTCCCCCAGTTACCGTACTATAACCCTGTGCGCTATCACCGAGAAAAACTCTTCGCAAATCGTGTATGATGCCAGCCAAGCCAGGCCGAATTTTAGTAATTGCCGTCCTCGAGTTGGTGAAAAATGGTTCGGCCCAGCCGATAAAAATTTAAATATTCCACTATTCTTTTGGGTCTTTTGTTTGTGAATTTGGGGGTTGTTAGGCAGTCTTTCTGTTTTTAAGATTTTCATCTTTCATCATTCAGGCGTTCCAGGCATGAATTCGCTTCTCGGACGTGTCTGTTCATTGGGAAGGAAGTGTCTTACGGGACGAGCTGGATTCGCCAGTTACAGGTTCCCTTTTTTCCTTTTTGCTAGTAAATTTTAAGGTCTAAAACTGGGCTTGCTGCACCATTTTTCTCTCGCTTTGCCGTAAAAGATATTTTAGCCTATGTTTCAATAGTTCAGTTTGTGTTCACACAGCTAAGGGATGAAACACAGAGAGGCTGCATCATAAAATTTCCTCTTATACACATGACATTCAGGTGAAATCCTTCCATTCTTCTATTTCATC